ATATATATATGGTAATATTACCAAATTGATGTTTTTTAAGTGTGATAATGGTATGTGCTATTTTTCCTCTTTGAGATACATTCTGAAATATTTGCATTTAAAACAATATACCAGGAAATTGCTTTAAATAATGATAAGCTGGGAGTGTTAGGTGGCTGCAATAGGGAGTATAAATAAAACAAAATTGGTTTAACGCTGGTAGTTGTTGAGGTTAAATGATCACTCCATAGCACTTTACTATAGTATTCCTTCAGCTTTTATAAAATTTACCAAGTCCCATACATATTTTTAAAATCTCCTTTGCTTGTGACTCCACAGAACTCCTCCCTCCATGTGTTTTTCACATCCTTCTCCAGCCTGGGGTCTTGACTCCACCAGGGCAGCTTTACCGTCACCGTGAGGACCAGCAGCAGGTGGATCACACACCAACTGTTGACTATACTGTAGCAAGCCATTCGCAAGGGACTCAGCAAGCCCCCGCCTCTAATGTCTTCTCAGCCGTAGCTAGCCCCTGAGAATCATTTTCTGGGTCCTCCTCCTTGGGCAGCTGGGATTCTGCAGGAAATTCTACCCTGGCTTCCCAAAACTGCTGCTATCAAACCTGAGCATCTCATGAGACCCTCACAGATCCATCCTGCCTCATCTTCCGCCCTCCCTATGTCTAATGTAATGAGCCACACAGCCTGCTGCACTCGGCCTCTGCGGGCCTATGAAGAACTCGCTTCTCTACTCGCCTCCCGATGTCCCCACAGGCTCTTCCTTGTCCAGGAACGTTGTTACCCCCAAGCCCCCACATCTTTGCCAAGTAAACTCCTGCTCATGCTTTCCAGTCTTCAACAAAGTATCTTTCCCTAGAGAGCCTGTGCCTGACATCTCCAGGGCCACCAGCCTAGGTCCTCACAGCGCACACCTCCTCCATCCCTTAGCACCGCTCCATTTACATAATCATTTGTCTAACTCTGTTGCGGACCAGCTACAAGCTTCCGACACGGCAGTGGCTAAATCCTTATCTGTCTCCAAGCCTATTAGAGATAAATACTCAATGGGGCATGTGTTACTGAATCAAAGGGGTGGGAAAAGAGATTCAGCATCTTACTCTTTCTCCATTTTCAACTCCTTTCTTCACTGAGGCCCTTTAGTCTCCAAACCTTCAGTCCTATTCTTTTTCCTCCCTCCTATGTTTTCCTGGAAAAGATCCTGGGAAACCAGAATAACTGAAAGATGGACCACAAAAGGGCCTGGGGCAAGAAGGAAGAAAACTAGCTAGGATTTGCTGCTATAAGGTCTGGCAAGGCTGTCAGCCTTTGAGCCCTCACCCCTCCTCTCACTCGGGAGGGCCCCTTTTATCCAGAGCCCACCCAGCAGTGGGCTCTCAGTACTGACACCTTCCAATGGGCGGCGCTACATCACTGCCATCACCTGTGCATACCTGTTCAGGTCTCCCCAGGGCTGGAAGGAGGGGCCAGGACCCTCAGGAATTACTGCGTACCCAGCCATCAGTCCTGCCTGTAACAGAGTACAGTGAGGACATACTCCTGACTTCCATAAAAATTCAGCATTCCTTCCCTGTCCTTCCAACCTTCTAATCTTCCAGATTGGCCTATTCAAGGGTGGCAACCAGCAGGTAGCATAGAAAGACTTTCAGGAAATGAGGCTTGTCACTGAGGCCTCTGTCACTGTAACCTTGAGCAAGCCACTTTACTGCACACCCTGCCATATCTCATATGGCATATGTTCGTCTGCTTCTTCATCCATGTGTGTTTCAATTATTATTAAGAGTAATTATCATGGATAGCCTGGGAGAGATGAGCAAATCACCCTATATGCTGAAGAGAACACACTCAGGGATCCTTCGAGGGCACACTGTCTGTGAACCGCAAACCTTCTTAACATGTACGTGTGTCTAGGCTTTAGTGCCTTCTATGGATAACCAGGTTTACAGGTTCACAAAGTAGGATAAAAAGTCACAGCTCTTTGGTAGACTATGGATCACAAGTTCAAAGCCAGCCTGGGCAACTTAGCAAAACCATGTCTCAAAGATAAAAATGACTGGAGGGAAAGCCCAGAGGTGCAGCATTTGTCTAGCACATTGAAGTCATGGCTTTCATCCCTGCTGGCATCAAAAAAAAAGTGTAATGTTGTGTTCATCTTAGGAAATGTGCAAAATAGGGAAACATGTAAAGGGAATAAAATCACACATTATGTTTCAGCAAGATTTAGCAACCTGAGCATAATTCACTTTTGTGTGTGTGTGTCTTTTTGAGACATGGTCTTGTTTTTTGTTTGTTTGTTTGTTTTCTAGTACTGTGAATCGAACTCACGACCTTGCGCTTGCCAGGCAGGCGCTGTGCCGCTGAGCTAAATCCCCAGCCCAAATTTTGAATGACCTGTTTTTTTTTTGTTTTTTTTTTTTGTTTTTTTTTTTGAGACAGGGTCTTGCTATGCAGTTCAGGCTGACCTTGAGCTCTCTTTGTAGCCCAGGCTGGTCTTGAACTCACAACAATCCTCCTGCCTCAGCCTCCTGAGTGCTGGGATTATAGGCGTGCGCCACCACGTCCAGCCACATTTTCAAATTGGGTGATTCTTGCTGTGCAGAGCTGTCCTGTGCACTGTAGGATGTTCAGCTACATCCCTGACATCTACTCAGTAGATGCCATTAGGAGCCACCATAGCTGCGGCAATCAAAATGTCTCCAGATGTCCTCCGATGCGGCACTGAGATTTGAGATGCGATAAACTATCTCCAATGCGCCCGGCCATTATTATCTTTACATAAGCATCGTTTTCCTTCATCTCAAATAAGACTCTCCACAGCGCATGCACCTTGTGCCTCGCTTGTCCCATTCAGCATTAAGTTGTGAGACCTTTCCAAATCTTTACACTTTCCGTGGAAGAATGCTTTTTAATGATTGTATAATATCACTGGCTGGCTGGCTGTCTAGTGACATAATCCATTTTTCTCATCCCTTGTTGCCGGGCAATTAGGTTGGGTTCACTGTTACAGGGCTATAAATAATGCTTGAGTGAACAGCCTTATACATAAATCAAAATCCCTGAATATATTCCAAGAACAGATGCTGGAAGAGAAATTCCTGTGGAAGAGGCTTGTGATACACGCTATTGAGGCAGCTTTTAAGCTATAAGTCAGTTATACCAGTAAACATTTTCTAAATGGTTAAACAACAACCTCATACTGCTCGTGGGGGCAGCGGCAGTCATGTTTTACTACGGAAGGGAGAATGGAGAGCAGTTTCTAATATTCTTCCCCATGATGCTAAGTTGGCACCAATTCTGTTCACAAACTGCGGCAAAACTTGGGCTGATGTCTTCAAACCAGATGACAAGTAAGTTTCCCTTCCGACTGAGTGACAGGAGCTGTGCCGAGGAGGCTATGTGGGGACTCGGCAGGAAACACTCAAAGCTCAGGTTGATCCACAACGGGTGGTGTGGGCGGAGGAATGAGGGGACAGACATATCACTGTGTGTTACTGACAAGGCCTAGGTCCCTGCAACTCAGGCTCGATCCCCAAGCCAGCAGCATCGGCAGTACCTGGAGACTGGCTGGAAATACATAGTCCAGCCAAGGCCTCCTGGATAAGAATCTGGATTTTAATAAGAGCCCAGGAGACTCAGAAATCTACCAGACTTTACAACCTACACTGATGTTCAAATTCTTTGCCAAACTTAACTGAAATGAAGCTGACTCCAACCAACGCTTAGCTTCTTAAGAAAATAACTTAGTAAGATTTCAAAAACTAACATTCTCACCTGAACTGAGGCGGAGCTGTACTAACAGAGCACAGGTCTTTCCTCCAGTGAGTGGCACACAGAAACCACTCCTCGATAGCTATTGCTTTCATCCCATCAGCAATATGACTGTCCCAGTCATCATCAACTATCATTATTGCTAATTATAATCATCACTATCATCATCATCATTATCACTGGGATCAACAGCTTAATTCTAGAAAAAGATCTCTGGAGTTTGGAAGCTTCATTAAGAACCCCTCTTGAGGGCCAGGGATATAGCTCAGTGGCATAAGCACCTGCCTAGCAAGCGCATGGTCCTGAGTTTGATCCCTGGTACCAAAAAAAAAAAAAAAACAAAAAACCCTCTTGATAATTTGTGAGTAGGCGACATCAGACCAGTCCTAGTTTCTTAAAGACACAGCTTAATGCACCCGAGGAGACCATGGGACATGATGCCAGGTTCACACTGATGCCACGGTCATTGTGAGAACTTTCATAAACCACTTAACCATTCTGTGCTCCCGTCGTCCCATGCACAACATGGGAATGGGCCCGACACCCGCTGTGTGCCCTTGTGTAAGGGTCGAAAGAGATGGTGAATAAGAGCAGTTTGGGAATCTTAAAACATAGTTCCACTTCTTCCCATTCCATAGCTACTTCTGTAAGCTCAGCAGATGAGATGACCAAATTTTACTAAATTCCATCTACAAAAGTCTGAGCGAGCGGAGTAGGGGATAGAAAAGGGCAATGAACTGGACCCTTCATACTCGTAATGTGATGGAAAACCTGGATGCTGTATCAGGAATGCAGACAGTAGAATGGGCCCCTCTGGCCTGACAGTGACAACTAATGTCCATCAGATCCTCCTGCAAACCAACCTTGGTTTCTAAGAAACTAACAGACTATAATCATCCAACCCTCTCCCCACCAGGAATCAAGAAAACAACCCAGATAGGCCACTCACTTTCTACTTGGGGCAGAATGGGGCTATAGCCAGCTAGACTCTCACAATGTACCCGTCTTTAATGAACCCTTCCTGGGGCTGCATAAGCAGCTACCCCTGCTTCCTTTACTTAAAGGGACACCTTACCTGGGAATCACCGGTGGATTTTCGGAGACTCATGTGGGCAGTCTCTGGAGGGTGCGCTGGGGTCCCTGATGCGTGGTATCCATTCACTGCGGGGACAGAGACATGGCTCAGATGCTGTGTGGGCCACAGACAGGCACCCTTGACTCTGGCCACTGTGGCCCCTTTTCCCACCTCCTCCCCAGGTTCTGGGAGGTGTCGCGCAGCTAGGTCCATCTCAGGAACTTCTTAGTAGTTGCAGCGCTGGGAATGGGTTAAAAGCATCTCTCTGATCCCCAGCACTCACATCCCTGAACTCTCAAGGGGCAGAGTTCCTTCTCAGAATGTGTTGAACAGGAAGTGAGATCAGCAGTGTCCAGCTTCTGTGGTCAGAAATCAGCTGGAGTTGCAGGTGCCAATCAAGGGTCCCATGGCTCTATTGTGTCAGGTGGCCCCACGGCCACTTTCCTACCATCCCTCTCCTCTCACTCTGTCAGAAGCACCTCCCTCTTCGATCTCAGAGCCTTGTGGAGTAGGTACGGGTTGAATATCCCTTATCTGAAATGCTGGGGACCAGAAATGTTTTATGTTTACGACCTCTTTGGATTTTGGACTATTTGCACAGACTTTGTATGGGTTGAACACCCTTAATCCAAAAATCTAAAATCTGAAATGCTTCAAAATCCAAACCTTTTGGGTACAGTATCTCTGTTTAAAAAGTTTCAGATTTTGGATTTTCAGGTTACAGGGGCTCAATTTGGACAACAGAAAGAGGACCGGGTCTACTGGTTGCATGAAATACAGCTCAGCCAATGACTGTCCAGGAGATGATATACAGACCTTCTTGAGTCTCAGTAGTACTAAAATTAAAAGGAAATACTTGAGGGCTCTAAAATTCTATTCTTAGTACTATATGCCTGTTGGGGGACATGCTCTCATGCTCCTAATGCACCAATAAATGTACTCTCGGGGTGGGGGGTGCACACTGATTTGAAGTGTCTTCCAACCTCTGTGGCATAACTACCTTACTCCATGGCCAGCCTCAAGCCCACAACATGGCTGCCTGCTCCTGACATCACAACTTCACACTGAGACCCATGTACTCTCAGTCCTGACAGTGCAGCCCCTGTCTAGATACAGTTGCCTGGGCCTAAGGGAGCCATTTCTCCCCAGAGAGCCTCAGCTCATGTGCCTGTAAAATGGGTATAATGCCACATAATCTTCAAACCTGCTGTGTCAGTGTGACAATCCAATGAGGCGGTAATTGCAGAAAGGATCTGTGTGCTACAAGGCACTCAATAATAAAGCAGAAAGGAGGGGTGTTGATGCTTCTGTTCTTGAATTCAGTCCCTGTGTATCACAAGCTTGCACAATCTCTGGAGACCAGGAAAGCAAGCCATCCTCAAATCCCAAGGACTGGGGCAACTGCCGACACGTACGCACAGTGCAGGGTGGGCTGGAGAAAGGAGGACAAACTGTGCAGTGTGACAGGAAGCAAAGGCTCTGAAATGATCCCAGGTGTGAACATTTTGAGGGCTGACATGTCACGAATGGAAAATTCCACATCATGAAACTCTTTCACACACACAACTATTGAAGGTATTATAGAAAATTATCTTCAGGCTGTGTGTGGAAGGTATATGTGACAGATGAATAAATTTTGAGTGTACACTTAGGTGTTATCCCCCAAATAGCTTGTTTTGTGCATGCAAGTGTTCTAAACTCTGAAGAAGTCCCAAATCTGGACTACTTCTGGCCCTAAGCGATTTAGACAAGGGACACGCAGCTTCTCATATGAAGCAGCAGAGGCTGGATGAAAGCGATGGGCAGTGGGATGGTGAAGACCATTCCAGGTAGAACCATTTCCGAGCAGAGGGACGGACTGCACGCCCTACCGCATGCAGCAAAGGAACCCAGGGCCGTGTGCAAGCAGAGTCACACCCAACAGACTGCCTGCGGGCAGTTAGCTCCTCTCCACTCTGCAAGGTCTGCCCCATCCTCCTGAAGGAGGGCAGACACCGAGAAGGGGGAAAGTGGTATAAAACAAGTCCTGGTGCAGTGACTCGTAGAAGCCTAAAGAAACCAGTTAATCTTGTGTGGCCAGATCCACATACACGTCCGTTAGGCAGCATACAATCCCCTACAGAAAGCAGCTGGGGATCCCAGTTACTCAGGAGGCTGATGCAGGAGGATCTGAAGTTGGAGGATCACAAGGTAACTTTGTGAGGCCATTTCATAAAATTTTTAAAATAGCAGTGAAGTTCAGGGTAAAGCACTTGTGTAATGTACGTCAAGGTCCTGGGCTCAGTCTCAGGACTATAAAAGAAGAGTGTGGGGGTCAAAATCAGGAAGGGTACTGAAGGGCTGAGGGGATCTGTTCAGGCTAGCATGATGCTACAGCAGGAAAGGCACCAGGCTGATGACAAATACACCTCACAACGAAGGTAACACTGAAGATTCTACTCATCGAACAACGCAGCACTGCGGTGGATAAAACACAGCAAGTTTACAGTCTGCCCTTCAGTCGGGGACTGATTAAATGGCAAAGATAGGGACAAACAGGATCTGAACAGTTTACTTTTGAAAGCTGATGGAAATAGATCTATTAAACATCCTAACCCATAAACAAAAATAGCATTTTTCTGCCAAGATTTTAGTTACAAATAAGTCATCAATAAATGGCAAAAGGTAAAAGTAACATGGGTCGCATTCTTTGACTAAAAAATAATAGAAGTGGATATTAATGATGAAAAAAATAAATACACAAAATCTCCAATATCCCAACTCCCAAACACTTGGAAACTTAAGAAAATGCCCTCTTAATCTCAGGTCAGAAGAGAATGTAAGACTACAACTGCACATTATTGAAAAAATAGTAAAGAAGAACATACAGAAACAAACGGGATAAAGCCCAAATCATCTTGGAGAAAAATCCATAACCTTGATTATTTCATTACCAAATCCAAAGGAATAAAAATAAGTGGACTAAACATTCAATTTAAGAGTTTAGGAAAAAAAATGTAAAGGCCAGTGGAATAAACCAAAGAAAAACAGGAGAAAGGAATATCAATAAAAGTTAATGAGTCAGGACACAGATGACAGTAGAGCCCAGAGCTGGTTGGGTGTGTGTGTGTGTGTGTGTGTGTGTGTGTGTGCACGTGTGCACGTGCTTCCCATGAGTTGGGGCAGGAATCACAACAGTAAAGAAAAGATGAGCCAGCCTAATACGAAAGTGAGCACAGACAGTCAGATCTAGGAATTAGAAAGAGCACACGATGGCAAGCGTGAGGTCGTGAGTTCGATTCCCAGTACCAGAAAAAAAACAACAAAAAAAGAAAGAACACACGAGCGTAATAAGTACAGATCTTTTGATACTGTTGTTAATACAAGGGCATATTGTTTCTAATTCCACACTAAAAAAAGCCAACCTTGCATAAGATTTAAATTATCAAAATGACTTCAAAGAACACTAGAGACACCAAAAAAAAAAAAAAAACAAAAAACAAAAAACCTTTGAAAAATTAACTCCCTGCATAAGACACTGGACCCAGATAGTTTTATAGGCAAATTCATACAAACTGTTAAAAGAAATACCCAGGCACAGGCTGTAGACAGTGCAGAAGCATGTACCAGGTTTCCCGATGTATACACAAAGCCTCAGTACCCCTATCGCCAAATCAAACAAACACCACAGTCAGCCTGGTGATGAAAGCGAAGTGCACACAGCTTTACCAGAGCAGGCAAAGTCACTATCTTTGGGGCTACCGCATCCAGGAAACCAGGGTTGTTCCCCAGCTTCCCTAGAGCAGAGGCTGCCCTTGCACCCCTACTTTCTCCCTTCCCAGAACCTCAAAGTGCACCCTCGCTGGGCTGCCCTCTCCTGCTCCCAGTTCCTGCCAGGCTGGACACGCCAGGCACAGCCAGGAACGATGTCGTGCAGAGAGGCGTTCTGCCCCTACCGAACCCAATCAGTCCCCTTTTCCCACTTCAGTTCTGGCCTGTCAGCTGTTGGCTAATTACCACTCATGTCAAAACAATTACTGGGGAAGAAAAATTAATTTTCCATTCGACCGTTTCTCCCCACACAGCGGCTCCCTCTGACAGACACCCTGTCTTGTTGAGCTCCTTGCTAACATTCCCAGGCCCAGTCAGAAAGCTGATCAGTGGTGATGAGAACAGCTGGGGCACAGAAGACCACGGCAACCTTGCGCACAAGCACCTGGCGTTGGCACTGTCACTCTCTGCACTCCCAACTCACTGGGGGTCAGCTGCAAAGCAAACGAGGCCCAGGGGGGGCGTTTTTAAGGGTCTCTGGCCTCTGGAGAGGATTGGTGGGCAATAAAATTAACAATGGTCGGTAACCATAAGGAATAAAATTTGGCATACAAGGAAGAAAAGTAAAATGCCAACCCCAGGAGTTGTTAAGTTTAAAAGAGGGAACAAAAACTATCTGGTAACTTCGGTAACTTCAAAAATAAACAAACAGAGGCACCCATGCATTCAATTCTTCCTTATGGGCAGTTAAATCAATAGAAAGAGCTTGGGAGATGTACAGTGAGAGGAGGGGACAGATATTTGGGTAGAAAGGAAGAGCAGGCTGGAGTAGGGGGAAATGGATAAAAACAGAAGAAGGACTCAAGAAAAATTATCAAGAGACTGAGCAACGAGAGCCAGCAACTTTTGCCACCCAGAATTCGCCCTCCCGAGCTCTGCATCCACATTTCAGCTCCAGTGCCTGTTATAAACAGGTCCAACCCAAGCCCCCACTACCCAGGGTCCTGTTCCCTGGAGAACATTTAAAAAGTACAGGAACATCAGCCCTTGACACCCCCTTAAATCTCCTTTAGCTCTGGTCTAATCTCCTCTCTCTCTGGAATGAGTATGATAACTTGCCCTTCCTCAGGTTAGGACTCCTGAGAGCTCTGAGGCCATGGTTCTTGAAATCCACCCACCCATCCATCCATCCATCCATCCACCCATCCATCCATCTACCCATCCACCCATCCACCCATCCATCCATCCATCCATCCACCCATCCACCCATCCATCCACCCACCCACCCATCCATCCATCCATCCATCCATCCATCCACCCACCCATCCATCCATCC